GAAAGCTTGAAACATGGATTTTGTGCATTTTGGTTGGCCAATAAAGGTATTGCTGTTTTGTGGATTTGGGATGTTATTGTACTTTGGAAGAGAGACGTCGGTAGGGTAGCATGAGCTTTTCTAGACTTGAGCCTATGCAAAGGGATCTAGATCCAAAGCACTTTGCAGAAATAATCCAGTTTGAGACTGCTTTAACTGCCCTGGCTCAGGTATAGGGAATCCTGAGAATTATAGTTTGTTGTGGCACCAGAGCTCTCTGACAGAAAAGACTAAATATCTCCCAAAACTACCATTCTCAGGATTCCCTAGCCTTGAGCCAGGGCAATTAAAGCAGTCTCAAACTGGATTATTTCTGCAGGGTGTTTTGGACCTAACTCGTGTGGATATACCTTTTTTATCTTTTTATTTTTTAGCTTTTGTATGATTTTTTAAATCAGTTTTATAATGGCTTCGTGCAGTGATTTTAAATTGGTTTTAAAACTTTTTGTAAACTTTTAAAATTTGCTCTGCTGGAAGAAACTGCCTTGGGTCCTGTCCTGGGAGGAAGGTGGCATCTAAATAAAGTGAAAAAATAAATTATGAATAACTGGACGAGAGAAGTTGGTGGCATGAGCTTTCGTAGACAGAGTAGGCTCAAGTCTACAAAAGCTCATGCTCCCAACTTCTCTCTTCCAGTGAGTCTCAAAGGTGCAACAAGATCCCTTTGGCATTCTGATTTTCCAGACTAACCCCAGTTATATCTTTGAATTCTTTCCATTTCTAGTTCTTCATTCCTGGGCTCTTCCTTCCTTCCTTGTACTGTTGCTGGAATTCCCTTTATTCAAATAAATTAGAAATTCAACTTTGTGACTTGTTATTTGAGGCATCCTTTATTTGCCACCCCTGGGAAATGGGTCTAAATAACTAGGCTGGAGCCTGTGTGCATTTGTGGGTGCACTTTTTATTCAAGAATCATATTTTAACATTTGCAAAAAGGTTCCCAGTATTATCTGGTGCACATACTGTGACCCCAGGCAAGTAGACTGCCAAGCAAAATAAGGGATAGCATTACTGTTAATGTAATGATTGTGCAGAAGAGAAAATTTAGCAAGTGTTGCTGGTAATACCACAACCTTCACCTGCTGAAATTCTCTTTTCTTCATTGTTGTGTGCCTTCAGTTCGTTTGGTGACCTGATCACAGGTTTTCCTTGGCAAGATTTGTTCAGAGAGGTTTTGCCTTCTGCTAAGGCTGAGAGAGTGTGACTTGCCCAAGGTCACCCAATGGGTTTCCATGGCTGAGCAAGGATTTGAACCCTGGTCTCCAGAGTTGTAGTCCCACACTCAATACTACACCATGCTAGCTTTCAGCCTCTTTCTACACAACCAGGAAAGGGAGAGAGGCCCTGTCCTTTCTTTCACTTGGTAGCCCTTGTCTATATCTGCACTGCAGAAATAATCCGGTTTGATACCGCTTTAATTGCCATGGCTCCATGCTATGGAATTCTGGGAATGCGGAGCTTTGGTGCCGCAACAAACTACCATTCCTAGAATTCTGTAGCATGGAGCCATGGCATTTAAGTGGTGTCAAACTTATGGCGACCCTATCACAGGGTTTTCTTGGCAAAGTGTGTTCACAAGAGGTTTGCCATTGCCATCTTCTGAGGCTGAGAGATTGTGACTTGCCCAAGGTCAACCAGTGGGTTTCATGGCCAAGCCGGGATTCGAACCTTGGCCTCTGGAATCAATGGGACTGAACATACTCATAATATATTGTCCCATTGGTTTCAATGGATCTGCTTCAAAAGGTTCAAAAGACACTGCAGAAATAATCCAGTTTGAGACTGCTTTAACTGCCTTGGCTCAGTGCAAGGGAAACCTGGGAATTGTAGCTTATTGTGGCACCAGAGCTTTCTGACAGAGAAG